AATATTATTGTGTACATCATCATCCCCATCATCATTGTCATCATCATTAAGCATGTTTATTGCTATTTATTAATATTATTGTGTACATCATCATCGTCATCGTCATTGTCATTATTTTTGTTTTTCAAATCCCATGTTATTTTTCCCCATTTTTATTTTCAGACCAAATTAGTTCCAATTTGCAGAGTCACATTTGTTTGAAATTTCTTCTTAATCGATGTAAGAAAGGCCCCAAGTGCACAGGTCACCATTGTCCTATGCCATACCAGTGGATCTACCTGGTGAACAACAAATGGCAAATGCTTAACGACAATGAAAACTTGAACCTTGAGAAAGTTTTCTGTAATGAGAGCCTTTCAGATGCACTAATAACTTTGAGTTTGAATCGTTCTTCATCTTCCTCTGTTGCACAGTAAGTAATGTTTTGAATTTATTGGTAATCAATTGTGGCCAACAGGGCAGAAAAAACAGGTTCTACTTTCGACGTTTATGCGTCAATAAGGTTTATATTCCATAAACAGGCTCTTTTGGGGCTGATTAACAAAATACCAAAATTTGGGGAAATTTAAGGGATGCGTATTTGAGATATGACGCCCTGAATGTTGGGAGAGATGATATTTTGATCAGCACAAAAACTAACATTTTCGCTAATACCTCAAAGTAGAATTGTTCGAGGTTAGCAGAATTTTGTGAAAAGTTTAAAGCACGAGAGACACGAATGAAGCACTAAACGTTTTTTAGCATGAATGAGAGTTAAAGAAAAAAATTGCAAAAGTAGCAGCCTTGTCATTTTTCTGCTTTGTCATTGTGGCCAGCATAGCATTAGTGCATTCACATCTCACCTCTAGGGTCTCTGGTTTGATTCCTGGACTCCCCGTCATGTGAGTAGTTCCAGAAAATTCTGAACATAAAAGAATGCATTTCTCTTGTTTCAGATCTGAACAAAATGAATCTTATTTCTACAAAGTGGATTTGGATGAAATGCAAATCAAACCACTTGACGAGGAAGGACCAAATTTCCCCCTCAAAAGGCTCTCTACTGAGTCAGAGGTTCATATCCCTGACTGTCCACTAGCGACTAAATGGCGCTGGCTTTGGAAAGGACCAGATGGATTTACAGAATATAGACCCCAAGAAGTAAGCACTATACCTTAATCAGAGGGTTCCATAATATATGAATGACAATCCAGTGTCATGACAGGCAGTGCAAGGGGGTTGGGGGGAGCATCATGAAACCCTTTCATACTATGTTCTCTTAGGCAAGCTATTTTGGGGGGCTGGGGGTGGGGCTTTAGAGGGGTGGTCATCAGTAAAAGTTTGGACTTTTGTGGAGAGTCAGAGCTTTTTATTTTCCTTGTTGTTTGCTGTTTGACTTTAACAGGAGGGGCATGACTTTGTTACTGTGCATAAAGGCGTGGGGAGGGGGGGTGGGGATAAATTTTCACACCCCACCTTGGAGGAAATTTGAAAAAAGGTCCCCCCCTGGAATTTTCAATTTTTTCCCATACAAACCTTGTAATTTTGTTTTTGCTCAGACCCCCTACCCCCTAGGAATTTCCAATTTTCTCCATGGTGGGGTATGGATATTTTCTGGAACCACACATTATAATTTACTTGATTTCTCACACTTTTCCTGTTATTCTGTTAAAAGGATTCTAAAGGCCCTTCATCTGCTACCATAGAGAAGCACTTTCTCGAAGGGCACAGTACGTTTGACTTTTACATAAAGCCATACAACTACAGACTCTATTTTCAACAGAAGCCTATGGTCCAGAAAAATCTAGACCCTACATATTATACTGAACGTGAGGTATGCCGAAGACCTCAATATGTCAGCAAACAAGAGTTTGAGAACATAAGAAGGTAAAATATATAATTAGCTATTTAAATTCAGGATGTCTGGGATTCAACATTCAACAGAGGTTTTATATATGACTATTGTTGTATTCTTTCTTTTAGCATTACTCACAAGTTGCCAATTGAGGACAAACGAGAATTACCCCAACTCTGGGTAAAGATGGCAGAGTGTCAAGAATTCCTTCTATACCAACTGAAAAGACATTCCAAGGAATTCAAAGAAATGGAAGCAAAGTTTTTGGGTTCCATTGGTGACAAGGTGGTTGTGATTAACACTATTGACAGAGTTCAAAACCCTTTTATGATGGAGAAATACCTAAGGTAACACTCTATTATATAATTATATGTATAGCAGTGGAAATGGGGATTCCCTGGTCATATTTTGGGAGGGGATTCCCTGGTTATGTTTAAGGAGGGGATTCCCCTCAAAGTAATGTATCTCAGGTAATACTATATTATAGTAGAGACAACATGTATTTAGAAGGGATTGGAGATTCCCTGGTTATGTGGGGAGGGGATTCCCTGCACAGGACTGGGGTTCGAGATCTTCCAAGATATAAATAAACAAAAATGCATTTTGGAAGAAATAAGGATTCCCTTTATGGGGACTCGATTAGGATAAGGGGATTCCCTTTCCTAGGATCTGGAGTCAGGTATCTCTCCAAGGTGGAAGATTAACTCAGATAATTGATTATCTTCTGTAGCAATTAGAGGCAAAATGTAGGTTGGCGGGAATGGGGATTCCCTTGGAATGCCTGGGCTTTGCTACCACAAAGAGATGCACTCCATAGGATTTTCATCTACTATCTGATTCTTTTCATTAAAAAAAAAACATACTAAAAAAGAGTATATTTGCTACCTGTTAGAAGAGTAACACCCCTATTCCTTCCTGAAATAAGATGTTATTTATTTTGATTCAAAGGAAGAAGACTCATATGCAAAAACTCTCTGGTGCCTCAAGTGATCAAAGCATAGACGAGAGGTTTCTATTCCACGGCACGTCACACCGCAACATACGTCCCATTTGTAAACAAAACTTTGATTGGCGCTTGTATGGGGAAGTGACGGGCAATATCCATGGTGAGGGAGCCTACTTTGCCAGAGATTCTTCTCTCAGTGATTGTTACTGCCCAGAAGATGAGGATCATCTTCGATACATATTTGTTGCCAAGGTTCTTGTTGGCTCGTACACCAAAGGTGATAAGAAATACAAGAGGCCTCCACACAAGGATGCCAATGACCCTCACAGTGACTTGTATGACTCCTGTGTTGATAAGATGGATAACCCTAAGATTTTTGTGGTTTTTGATGTCGATCAGTACTACCCTGCATATCTGATCACATACAAGCGTCAAGAGATAGAACACAGTAGTGGCCTTGATACAACTGTAACATGGTCCCCCATGAGACAAACACAGTTTCCTCCTTCTTCAACAAGATATGGCTATAGTGACTCAAGCTTGCCTTCTTCATCAATCCGTAACTATGTTAGATCAACTAGCGTACCATCAAACCCATATAGCACTACGGCACAAAGAGTATCAAGTAGTGACGCAGCATACCATATGCCCTCAAACACTCAGTATGCTACTCCTAGARTGGAAGGAGCAAACCTGGCATCTGCTATGGAACAACAAATGGAAGACTTTACTTATTCAGCTTCTAGTAAGAAGTCCAATCAGCAGAACTGCTCGGTTATGTAATATGTGGCATTTTTAATGTGGGCTTCCTGTGTCAACCTATGATCTCTGTATTTCCTGRTTGTCAAGTTCAAGTTCAAAGATGACCTTACAGGACTGCTTGGTTGTGTAATGTCAGGCTTTCCATAAGCTATGATCTCTGTATTTAAAATAGTAATGCAAGAGTGAAGTCAAAACTGAAATGAAAGCCTCATTTCAGTGGTCAAACGACGATAAAAACACATTATTTTTCATTATATTTGTCTTGATTTGTATCCCTCTGTTTTTACCATGGTTCTAGAGACTCTGACAATCTTGCTCTAGTTTTTGAGTATTGAGAAAAGCTGTTCAGACAACAGCTGAGTTTTTTTTTGCCATTTTTGTGACCTCCAAACTACTTCAGCATGTGTCTCCCGAACCAAAAAGAGGCTCACTTAATATGTAGTTCCAGAAATTATCCATATCCCCCAATGGAGGAATTTTGTTAAACAACCCTGGGGGATGGATTATGGATTAACATTATGGATTTATTTTGTAGAGAAATACGATTAGTATCAAATACTATATATGTAGCAAAGGGTATCAATATATATATCTTTGAAACCAAAAAAGAGGTTAAGGTGACTGCCTACTTTTGGACAACTATTTAAACTTTTTTTAAAACTTCGATTCTCTGAATTGAAGTTTAATACTGATTCCAAATCTGGATAGAAAAATTGGATGTCTCGAGCTTGTTTTCAAGATAATCATCATTTAATGGAAGCCTACGTGTGAGCTTTTGGAGCAAAACTTGCTCCACCAGAAGTGATTAGAAAAAAATTAAGATTTATAAGATAATAGTTATTTGCAGACTATATGATTGCACGAATGAAGGCTAGTCAATCATTCTACAATAATACATGGATATTTTCGACAAAAAGACAGAGAGATACACTGTACATTGATTTGTCATATTTTGTGGTTTCAGCGCTCTTAAAAAATCTCATAAAGTCCAACAAAAATACCTACAAAAATCTATTTTTTCATTTGTTACTGATATAAAATTTTTCTAAAATGATATAACCTAGATTTTTAAGGGTTTTTTTTTGAATGAGCTATTAAAAAATAGAGTCCTGTGCAAAATGTGAGGGTTTTACCCTGTTGAAGCTCAAAACGCGTCGATAAAATCTTTTTTTTTTAGATTTTTCAGCAGTTTTTGAGCGCACGAACATCGTGGGCTCAAATCGAACGGTTAAAAGCAGGCAGTCACCTTAAAGGGTTAATAGGAGGTTCACCAGATGGAGTCATTTGACTCCCACTACCATGATGCTTGGTGAATTTCTTTCTTATTCAAATTCATATTGCCTTATGAGAATACAGTAGTTAGACAAATTGTGCTACTTGACTGAACAAAAGAAAGTGTCGAGGGAGTGTGGTTGTAGAGGCCAATGACACCTTCATGGAAAGGTCTCATTAAGGTAATAATTGGGTTGATTAACCTCGTTTGTGGATAAAATAGTAAAAAATGTTCAGTACTCAAATTATACAATAAATTGTTTTGTAGTGTAGGGTGTCAAAAAAGTCTAGTAAATTCCATTCTTATTGCATTTGCTTTGACAGATTGCTTCCTTATGCTGTGTAGTCTGTGTGCACCTAGTACTTGACCCCACCCATGGAACTAAAGAGACCAGAGGGGGAGGGGGGAGGGGCATGCATGATAAATGAAATCCTCTCATTTAACCCTTAGAGTGGCTCGCAATTCTCCGTCATGGATGCCATATGGTGGTATACTACTCTTCCCAGTAGACCGAGATCATTGTGATTTTTTAATCACCTTCGTAGCGTCTGTTATGTTATCCGCAAGTACATTTCAAATGGACCACGTGATGCCAATGTTGTACCACGATGACAAGCTTTTTACATCACGTGATTAAAACTTGACTGAATTTTGATCAAGTGGTGTAAAAAACTTGTCCTTGTGGTACAACATTGGCATCATGTGGTTGATTTGAAATGTACTTGCAGATAACATAACAGACGCTACGAAGGAGATTAAAAAATCACAACTACCTCGGTCTACTGGGAAGAGTAGTATTTAATAAAAGATTCCTCATTAGCGTCATTAGTTAATACCACCAACATGATATAGCTGCCATATGGCCACCATGACTTTGTTTCTTCAAACCGTCAATATGGATCCACAGGTAGCCCATCTTTGAAAAAAATATTTCTTTCTTTCCCGAGATCTTTGTTTCCAAAATAACTCCAAAAATCAATACCCCTGCATTTTTTAAGAAAATGAAAGGGAATTACAAAAGAACTCAAATCTATTGTTTTATTATTAATCATTCATTAATTCGTTGAGGTCGTGCTGTTATTGTTTGGGCTACCTGTGGTCAGGTGATAATGCTTCGACTTTTGTTTGTCCGAGTATCTTCTATTCCTCTCAAAAGTCTTTCCAGCCAGCTCCACAAGACTTGCGTAGCCGACATGTCCATGAAAGCAGTAGTAGTCCATGAATATGGAGACTCTTCCAAGCTATCGTATGAAGACGTTCCGATTCCAGAACCTGCAAAAGGCGAAGTAAGGTTTGATGTCGCGCTGTCGGTCCCTCTGTACTTTATTACAATATTATTGTCATTTTATAGCTTTCATTTTTACAATTTACGTTTACCATAGGGTTTTTTCTGTATTTTAAGACTAGAATGAACCTTTATTTGTGAAGCAAACTTCTTTCCCATGAGTAGATCGCTTTACTGGTACTTCGTATTTCGTCCAGTTATACGCCATGCATGTACGTTTGTATGTTCTTTTTAAGGACGCCACATCTGAGCTGTTCTATTTTATAGAGCAGACATTTGTCTTTTCGTTCATATTACTATAAACGATGCCAATAAGATATCTATAGGTTATTTTAAGGTTAATATTAGGTGTTTTTCTTGCTCTTTTGTCACTCTTTTGTGTTTTCCCACCCTTTAGTAGTAGTGGTTTGGGAATTTGCTTATAAAATCTAGTCGATCTCAAAAAAACTAATCTTGTACAGATTCAGCGCTCAGCAATCAAGCATGCAAAAAATTTTCTGTTACGAGGAAGTAGGTTTTGGTGAAGCTCAATCAAGGTGTTTCTATGACATTCCACACAGGCACTACTTGCTGTTGAAAACTTTGCATTTTCTGACAATGTCATGGAATTATTTTGATAATGATGGCCACCATAACCATGTAATTTTGTTGCAAAAGAAAATAGACCTCTTTGAACTAGTAAAATACCGCTCTATTTCTTGATGCAGATTCATTTTTTCATGGCTCATTTTAATGTCAAAATATTGACAAATTCAATTGGTAAAGTAAAGAATGTACAGCTTCAACAATACAAACACTTTGAAATTCCATGGACCTTCATTGGAACACATAATGATTCTGCACAAATTCTAGGTTAATGTTGGTCAAGTTAAGACCTAACAAACTTTGCTAAAATGTATGATTGCAATTTCAGAAATTCACCTCAATCCATATAACAGTTTACTAGTCAAACACAAAGCATTCCCTCAAGGCTGCATGTTCAAACTTAAATAATCCTTTGAAACTGCTATATTTCAGCCTTGATAAAATGCGAGAGATGAGTGTACTACTGCTAAGGCTGAGGAAAAAAAATTACATGTTTATCGTCCGGATTTCTAAAAAAAAGTGTGCGGGCGGGCAGGTTTTTTAAAATTTACTGACAAACAAAATTCATGTTTTTACCAAAATTCTCTTTGTACCAAATTGAGGTTGAGGAAGACTGGGTTCGAAATTAGCGCCTGTTACTTTTTTTAGTTTCGGTTTTTAAAAATAACAAATAATGAAAAAAACAGGCGGCCCAAAAAAATGAAGTGGGCAGGAAAGATAAACATGTAATTTTTTTACTTGGCTTAAGCCAACCTTGATACCCTAATATTATTGTTCACTGCAGGTCCTAGTAAAGAACCATTTCTGTGGTGTTAACTTCATTGACATTATTTGTCGCAATGGTCACATGGGAGAAAGGTTTCCTCTCAATGCCACATTAGGTTTTGAAGGTTCAGGTGTCGTGGAGAAGGTTGGCAGTGATGTCGAAGGAATCTCTAAAGGAGACAATGTAGCATACATGGGATTAGGAGTAGGTTTGTACATATATGGTGGTTTTTTGCTGATCTTTTTATATTAATTAATTACTGYAATTTTCAATATTTTGTAAGCTAATTTAAGTGAAAGGTAACTAGCTGAAAGGTAATGACTATGCATTTGCATCAAAGCAAGAAGGGCAGTGACCTTGCAATGATAGAGTTAGGTAAATAATTGTCCAACATGTCTCTCTCACTGCATGGTCACTGCTGTCCCACTTTGATACAAAGACACGGTTACCTTTCATGGTGGCACAGGGAACTGTGAAGGGCACTATTTTTTAAATACCAAATAAACAGATGGGAGTATGTGAGAGAAATTTCTCTTAAAAAAGATTTGCTTTCCAATATCATTGTAGGTTCCTATTCGGAGTTCAGTAAAGTGCCATCCTGGCGTGTCATCAAGTCTCCTCAGGGTGTGTCTCTAGAAAAGGCTGCAAGTACCTTATGGCAAGGGTTGACGGCATACTGTTTCACTGATGCTGTATTTCCTATTAAGCCTGATACTAAAGTTCTTATTCAGGGTGTTGCTGGCGGTGTTGGTAATCTGCTCTGTCAGCTTGCTAAACTCAAAGGTGACATCATAAACTGCATATTGATATGATCAATATATATTGTACAAAGTACACTGTGATTGTTTAAGATGATGATTGATGATTGATGATGACATGAGAGATGATGATAACTGATGATATTTATTGCTGGCTATGTTGGTAATCTGCTCTGTCAGCTTGCAATTGCTAAACTCAAAGGTGACATCATAAACTGCATATTGATATGATCAATATATATTGTACAAAGTACACTGTGATTGTTTAAGATGACTCATGATGGTTGATGATGACATGAGTGATAATGATGACTGATGATATTTATTGCTGGCGGTGTTGGTAATCTGCTCTGTCAGCTTGCTAAGCTCAAAGGTGACATCATAAACTGCATATTGATATGACCAATGTATAGTGTACAATGTACACTGTGGGCTGGGCTTCACAAATTTGCAACGTCCCCTGTGATTGGTTAGATTTAGGAGCGGGGTTGTGGAAAGGTCATTGTTTCCTATTGTTCTACACATGTGTGCCCTCCAATATGACCACATCTTGCAAATTTGTGAAGGACGACCCTACACTGTGGTTGTTTAAGATGACTGATGATGATTGATGACATGAGTGATGAGGATAACTGATGAATTTATTGTATAGTTCCAGAAATTATCCATACCTGTTTCTGAAGGGTAGGGGGGTCAGAGAAAGAACAAAAATGACAGAGTTTTTATGGAAGAAAATTGGAATTTCCGGGTGGTAGGGGGTGGGTGGGTTCTTTAAGAAATTATTCCATGAGGGGGGTATGGATAATTTCTGTAACCACACATTATTTATTTTTTTTATAATTAATTATGACTGATGACAATATGAGTAATATGATAACTAATGACTGTTGATGATGCATGACTGATAATGATTGATGTTCCCTTGCTAGCAGAGTCTCTCTATTGATGGTTTTCAACCATTCCCAAGAGAATTAAATAACAAAAGACACGGCGGCCATGTTGTAGGATATAACAAAAGAATTCATTGACAATTCTTTTGTTAAGTTCCTCCAACATGGCTTCCGTGAAAACCATGAATTGCCAACGAGGGAGAATCTGCTAGCATGGAAGATTGATGGTGATATATATGTGAGAATGATGTATATTGGGGATGATGATGATAAACATAAACTTCTAGCTCACACCTGAATAAAACCATCCTTCTTAACAAGTGTTCCTCAAACTATTTGTAGGAGCATATGTCATTGGTACCTGTAGCACAGAAGTCAAAGCTGCAAAAGCCAGAGCTGCTGGAGCAGATGAAGTCATTCTGTACTCCCAGAAAGACTTTGTTGAAGAGACCAAGCGTCTCACAGATGGTAAAGGAGTCAATGTCATCTATGATGGTGTGGGCAAGACAACTTTCTTGAAAGGTTTGTAATCATTTTGTTTCACTTTACAAACACAACTAGACCTTTTTAGCTTAGGAGTAATGTTTTCTTATTTCAGACCATGTGTCATTCCCGAAAGCATCATTACTTTGTATGACAATTGAGCATGAGATCTTAAGAAGGCACATATAAATATGGACACAATTAACACAAAGGATCTTCTTCTCAAGAGCATGACACGTGGTCTGATAGAAATTTAAAAACATTATTTTGCAAGCTGGATCTGGTTTCTTACTATAATTTATGTGATTTATTACGGCACAAGATTCTATTGATTTTTTAATGGTACAATTGTGGTTTAACTGGACTAGAAATCAGAAATGTACATAATCCAAGAAATAAAAATAAAGTATAAATTGTGCAAAATATTCCAGTTTTGAGTTCTCTTTTGCTCAGCCTTAGCCAACAGTTGTGGGTTAAAATATCATTCAATGTCATTCAACCAAAACCAGTGGAATCTAAATCAACTCACATCTTTCCATAGTATGTACATTCTTTACTAATACAATGGCCCTTAATGAAAGAAAAGAACTCATTTGTACACTGTCAAGGCTAAAACTGAGCAAAGGTCAACTCAAATGGGAGTATTACCTCCAAAGAACTTGTCAAACATCTATTTCTGTTGCTTCCTAGGATTTGATTGCTTGGCACCTCGTGGTACCATGGTTCTCTTTGGAGGTGCTTCTGGAAACCCAGGCCCAATAGATCCCACAATGCTTGGCAAAGGATCCTACTTCCTGACTTTTGCCTCCCATTTTGCATATACAAGTGACCCCACCCTTTACCGCAAAATGGCCAACGAACTGTTCCAATTGGTGGCTGATGGAAAGATCGATTTTGGTTCAGTTGAAAAGATCCCTCTTGCTGATGCCAAGGAGTCTCACGATAAGCTGCAGAATAGAAAAGCTGCTGGGAAAATCCTGTTGGTTCCTTAAAAACACTGTCAGCTCATTGGCACCCACTAATACATAGAATACTAGCACCAGGGCCCCTATGGATACCAGCATAGTTGCAGAATAGACCCCTTGCAGCACGTCGGAATGCAGCTCAATTTGGAGGACATATCATCAATTGGTTTCCAATTGTCATGAGATTGAAATTCTTTTGTTTTGTCCTCCAAATTGAGCTACTTTGACATCACATGCAAGGGGTCTATTGGATCATCCTACCTAAATAAAGTTAGTAGAGTGCATATTCGTGAAAAAGTTAACTAGGAAAATTGTACGATTATTACAAAGTTCTGTAAGTCTATGATCCACTGAAAAAAGCTAAACGATTCTTTAAAAGCATTCTTATAGCATTCAGACACACAATTTTTTGTTCTGGAATTTCTAAGATTGTAATAAGAGCAATTAAATCTTGGAACATATTCATATAGTGGATTATCCAGTGGATAAGTCGATGCTGTTATCCAATAAATTTATCCACTAGATAGGATTATCTGTTGGATAGTGCTATCCAGCCTTTGTACAACTGGGCCCAGAAGGCTAAGAGTAAATATAAATAGTATAGAGTGCATACCATATTGATATATAATGTGAACAACTTTCTAAGAGATTGAACAAATTTGCAAAAATTAATATAAAGTTCAGTAGACCTCAGTGGATCGTAGACTTACAGAACTTTGCACTAATAATTGTACAATTTTGTTAGAGTGACCACAGTAAATCCGTGAAACTTTAGTAATACTAAACAGCACAATTTCATGCAAATTTCTTTTTTTTCTATTGTTTAATTAGCACTATTTTGTACTATTTAGTAATTAGTGTTTCACGGATTAATTGTTTGCACTCTAGTTAACTTTTTCACGAATATGTAGATAGTTTTAAATATGTAGATATGTAGAATTCCTAGTAATATTTTAAATTTTAGTTTAGATTATATTGTAAATGTAGATATGTACTTTATTTACTCAATAAAGACATTATTATTATTATCATTATTATTATTTAGGATTTATCTGCCGTATAGCGCTATCCAGGCTTCGTACAACCAGGCCCTGACAACAGCAACTCTTGCCTAAGTGACCAAGGGGTTTCTGTGGAGATTTTGTGAAGTGTGAATGAAGTTACATACTGTGGATATTTTTTCGCACATTTATATCTCAACCTCATAATAAAAAAAGTTTGGATGAAAAATGTTTTATTTTTAGCCTCCTTAAGAAATCCTGTTGGGCTTTGTTACATTTTCGTGATTCTGACGATTCTGACCACTTGATGGGATAATTTTGGTGCATATGTATGAGAAAAGATCCGAGGGAGAAGAGGGTCTATCCCAGGAGACAAAGTCAGAGGGTCCCTGATAGTGTGGGTGGCCTGTGGTACAAGAGAAAGGAAACTGGTTACGAAAGAGAAGGCGCGTGTCACTGGAAGGTTGTGAAGAATTTACTAGTAAAAGTTTTAGGGGAAAATACAAAGGTAAATTCTTTACTATAACTAGTTTTTAATCTGTGGCACAACCGGAATACCCGGCCTTAGGATGTGCACACGTTAATCCTCTATTGGTCTACCATTGTTATTGCATCGTTTTCAAAAGACTTGCTTCATGCTAAGACAAAGTGCATGGCCGGGTATTCTGAAGTTACTCCGAGGGCTGCACGTCGGAGTAATATATATCAAAATGCTTGAATAAAGCTTATGGGAGTCTGAAAGTTAACTAATTTTTTTTCATGCATGTATCCTCCTTCCTACTGTATTTGTATTTTTGTGATAAAACAGTATTCTTTTGGAGCATGTTACTTTAAAGCCACCATCTTGGCCCGGGGGGGTACTCCACCAGAGGATTTGGGTAGGGGTGTTCCGCTGGGATTCCGAAAGGGAAACCCTGTTTATGACAAAAAAACTCAAATTTGTAGACCCTGTTTATGACAAAAGATATAATTTATTGCGCTGAGTTC